CTCCGGGAGTTGGTGATGGACAGGGAAGCCTGGCGTGCTGCAGTCCATGGGGTCGCAAAGAGTGGGACACGACTGAGCAACTGAACTGGAGTGAAGTGAGGGATAAGATGCCATGATCTTAGTTTATTGAATGTTAAGTTTCAAGCCAGCTCTTTCTTCTCTTTCACCATCATCAAGAGGCTCTTCAGGTCCTCTTTACTTTCTGCTATTAGAGTGGTATCATCTGCATATGTCTGAGGTTGTTTATATTTCTCCTGGCAATCTTGATTCTAGCTTGTGATTCATCCAGCCTGGCATTTCACTCTGCATATAAGTTAAACAAGCAGGGTGACAACATACAGCCTTGACGTACTCCTTTCCCAATTTTAAACCAATCCGTTGTTCCAGATAAAGAATAGTAGAGACTAAACTTGTTTGAATTGGACATTTTGCTTCACTCAGAGTTACTGAAGTGGCTGCTTATATTGAAATGTCATTTTGCTTTTTTCAGAGGTTCTCAAGACAATTGACGAGGGAGATGCTGATGAGGTGACAAAGCAAAGGATTCATGATGGAAAGGAGAAACCCGGTGCTTTGTGGCATATCTATGCAGCCAAGGATGCAGAGAAGATCCGGGAGCTGCTCCGAAAGGTATGTCCCTGAGTGGGCTCCCAGCTTACAGATTAAAGGTCTGGGGATGCCAAGACAGTCTAACTGGGGTTTCTCATGTGGAGTCCCTTGGCGTTAAAGACCTGTGTCCTTTGTTACAAGGCCCCTTAGGGCTGAATCCTCACTTAGAGGATATTAAATAAAGTAGGTATTACTGCAGCCAGCTGGATTTATCCTGTTAATAATCTTTATGTGTTTATTGATTTTTCCATCTTTGGGTTTTGATCGTGGTTTCATGATCAGGTTGGAGAAGAGCAAGGCCAAGAGAATCCCCCTGATCATGATCCAATTCATGACCAAAGTTGGTACTTGGACCAGACCCTACGTAAGCGGCTCTATGAGGAATATGGTGTGCAAGGCTGGGCCATTGTTCAGTTCCTGGGAGATGCTGTCTTCATACCTGCTGGAGCCCCACACCAGGTATGTCCCAACTTGTGGGTGGGGCTCCACAGTTCCCATAGTTTCCTTATTTCTGAGTTTGTTGCTAATCTGGCAGTAGATGTAAAAGTGTGGGTTAGACCAATTGCTCTTAAACTGCAATTTATTTTTTGCCTTTTCATTTTCTTCCATGTGATTTTAAATGCTCATTTAAAGAAAAAGTGAGTCTCAGTTCAATCCCCTTTTCAATCCCCTTATTCTGCCTTCCCCAGAAAGTAGCCTACTGTTAACAGTTTGGTATATATTTTTCCAGATCCTATTTTTGCACAACTACTAACATTTTCATTTATAAATTTATACTTACAGTCTTTCTGCATTTGTTGTCTTTATAAAAGTGGGATATCAGAAGTATTTCTAAAGTGTCCTTTTGAACTAAATGATGAACAGTTTCCACATGTTATTGACTCGGGTGCCTGATGTTTGCCTTATGTACCTTTCCTCTCCCAGGTGCACAATCTATACAGTTGCATAAAAGTAGCAGAAGACTTTGTATCTCCAGAACATGTAAAGCACTGTTTTCGCCTGACACAGGAATTCAGGCATCTCTCTAACACTCATACAAACCATGAGGATAAACTGCAGGTAAAGAACTCCTCCTCCACTCCAGCCCTGTCTTATCTCCTTGTAGGCTACATACACAGGAGGTGCACACTGCCTTCTGAGGATATTATCTGGGCAGTTTAAGTGTAGAGAGCTGATTAAAGGACCCATGTCTGGGGTATGGCGTCCTCCCTCAGGAAGTATATAATCAGTCCTCTTCAGGTTTGCTTTTAGAGAATATTCATCTTTTAACCTAATCACTTCCTAATCACTTTTAACCTAATCACTTGTGGCAGTCTTCTCTTTCTCTGCCCCTGGAAGATACAGTGTTTCAGTGTTAGTAACTAAACTAGACTAAACTAAACTAAACTAAACTAAACTAGACTGACTTCCCCCATCAGGTGAGAAAAGCACTGTGGCAATGTGTTCTAAACCTGTTTCCACAAAACTGCTTGTCCCAGCAAATTTCTGTGCAAACTCAATTCCTTAAAAGCCCTGCTGGGGACCTTAATCCGTGTCCCTAAGAGTTGTTTCCCCTCATAGATCTAAACTGGAGAATCAGATTAGGTTTTCCTCTGTTCAGAAATGGATTGGAACTTTAAGGGAAGAATTTCATTGTTAATATACTTCGATGCTTAATAACATTAAAAAAAAAAAAAAAAAGAATAAGAAAGCAAGATTCCCCAGGAGAGGTTTAGCACCCAAACAGGCATTCTTCCAGCCTCTCACCTATGGCCTATTTTCTTGCGTCATGCCTGTGACTCAGGTGTGTCGGTGACCCATGAGGTTGGATATATTTCTTGGTTGTTGGTAGATTGATAAATGACACTTATATTATAGATATAATGCAAGTATTCAGGCATATATATTTTAGACTACCCTCTGTTAGGTCTCTACTTGTCACATATCACCTCCCAGTCCTCTGTTATTGCTTTATTTTTTCCTGTAGTTTTCACCATCTAACATACTATGTATCTTTTGTTTGTTTCTATCCCTACTAGGACATAAGCTATTTAAGCTCCATAAAGGCAGGGGTTTTACTATTTTAGTTCACTGCTTTTCCCTAGGACATGTCTGACACAGTAGGTACTCAGTAAATATTTGTTGAATTAATACAAAAAAGTGTAATAGAGAATAGCAAGGGGGCTTGTATGGCCATCATTCAGCTTAAGAGATAAAGCATCATATTCATACCATATATACAATGTATTTGTATACAACAACTACATTATTGAAGCCTCCATGTACCCTTTCCCATTCCATTTCCCCAGAAATAATCATCATGTTGATTTAAAATTGTCTTTATCCTGTTCACTCTATTTTAATAACTTTTACTTTATACATTATATGTGGTCCTTTTTGACAAATTAGAAAATATAGGCACGAAAGGGAAAAATACCCAATAAATCCTACCTGCCCACTGTTTTTAGTGCATTCTTTTTAGCTATAGGACCTTAATGTAAGATTCTTAACCATGGAACCTCAGTTCTCATCTATAAAATGGGGATAATAATAGAATCTACTTCATAGGATTATGGTAAGGATTAAATGAAAGTCCACATAAAGAGCTTAGCAGTAGTGCCCAGCACATACATACACATTGAGGATGGTGATTATATAGCCTTTCAAATGATGAATCATTTTTTTTTAATATAGACTATATATTCTGTGTGATTTGTAAATCATCTTTTGGGGTCAGTTAGGGGAGTGCACAGTCCTGGTTGAGGGCTTTCCTCACTCATCAGTAGGCTTTTAGTCATTGCAGGATATTTTCATTTGCAGAACACAGTCTGTGGCTGCCATGAACTAACTGGGCTGATTGCTCTCTCCAGGTGAAGAACATCATTTATCATGCAGTGAAAGATGCTGTTGGCACCCTCAAGGCTCACGAATCCAAGCTGGCAAGATCGTAGGCATGGAGAAATTTCAAACTCCCCTGTGAAGCAGGTCTTTCACTCACAACACATACAGGGAACGACAGGGTTCTCTGCTGGAGCAGAGGTCCTTCACTTGGAGCCAGTGTGGTCAGTATTACAAACTCTCCAGCCACTCTTTTCTACGCTGCCTCAACACTGAAGGTTGACACAGGAAAGTCGCACTGTTCACACACACAGTTTCAGACTCCAAGCCGAGGGTGCCACATCCCTATCCTGTGGCCTTTTGGGACTTCAAATTGCCTGAACATCGCTGGGCTGTCCTGCACATTCTCATGATTTGAGATTTGTGGAAACCAGGAATGTGGGCACACCTTTCTTTTTTTTTTTTTCTCTTGTGCCTAGTTAAGTGGGAATGTGTTTGGAGGTAGGGGGATATCACATACCTGGTACATGTGGGGGCTAATTATTTAAACACACCTGGTGGAAGCCTGATGGTGTCTCTACACATGACCTCTGACACAGCCCATCCCAGGAGCCGGGTGAAGCCATTCCCCACCATCTCTCCCATGAACACTGAAGTCTTGAAGGACCCAGGGAGAATCCACTGCTTTTCCCAAGAGGCTCCAGGATTAGGAAACGTGTGTATTTAGTGAAAAATAGGTTTGTAGTGAAATAGTTACTATTTCATGAAAGTAGATATTTTTAGAACTTTTGAAATACCACAGTTGTTTTCCTGGATTATGAGGAAAGGCACATTACATTTAGTCTTCCTTCGAGAAAACTCTTTGAAGAAATAAGATTTTTAGAAATCAACTGCCCATTATAGCACAAAAATCAGCCAAAGCAGAATTTAAAAGAATTGGCTTTTTAGGGTTCTTTTAATTTCACCCCCCCTCCCATCTCAGCCCTATCTTGAGGGAACAGCCATCTTGAGAAAGAACTTTGTCGTGTCTGAGCTGTGGTGTGTTCCATGCATACACACACTGGTGACTCCAGGAACCATTTCCACCTATTACCAGCGTTCCCTTGGGACTCCTCTTGTAGTTCCAAATTCAAAGGAAAGTTTGCTTTCCTACATGAGGCTTTTTGTTTTGGGAGTTTTTTTGTCCAGAAATATTTTCAGCAAAACTTTCCAACTCAGTGGAGTTTTATTAAGAATTTATTTGAAAATGATGGAATTCATTGGCCCATAGATACATTGGAAAATGTATCTATCTTCTTCCCAGCTGTACTGTAGTGCCCTGCAGGCTTGTTTATATGTTCACAGTTACTTTTTTTTTTAAATAAAAGTCATTTACTGTAGAATACTTTTAATTTCACTTTCTGTATTTTAATTTTGTTGAAGGGCTGATTGGGATTTCCATGTTCTTATTAAAAATCTAACAAATCTGTTCATAGTGGACTAACTTCTTCCTGTGCCAGTTGTTCTAAAAAGCAGGGCCAGGTTGAGGGTGGGGTTGGAGTTGGAGGATAGTTCATTTTCATATCATCATTACATTGTTGCATCCAATTATTACTGTTTGCTCCCTGAATTTGTGCCCAGCTGGGCGTGGGATGTGCCAGGCCATTGTGGTTTGAGGGCTTAGGGACAAAGGGGAATGTGCTACATGAGCTAGAGGGTAGGAGCAAACATGGGCTTTCCATAGTTTCTGCCCTATGGGAAAGGTGGGTTCCTACCTTCCAGAAGCAGCCTGGCGAAAAGGGCCATGGAGAGTGGCCTGAGCAAGGTTTTGGGCAATCAGTGACAAAGTTGCTCAAAACAAGAGGCCTGGGTGCCCACATAGGAAATTGAAGTGGCTTGAAGGGTGAGGACAGACTGTGTTCCAATTAGAAAAGGCCTTTTGAAGAGGAAGTTGTAAAGAATAGCAAGAGGGGTCATCAGAGGCTGCTTCCTTGGATCCTGTTGGAAAAACATCTTCCAAAGTGTTTGAGCCTGGAAATACAATTATCAGGGTGGAAATAGACCATTGTGTGTGGTTCAAGGATACTGAGTTTGAATAGCACCATAACTGAAATACAGAGTTCTGAGCATGTCCTTTAAGCCTGGATGGGCACGGGCTGGTGCTGTGATCATCAGAGGATTATACCTCGACATAAAGAATGCAGAAGCTTTGAAATGGAACGGGAAAGGAAAGCAGTGGGGGAAGGGAGGTTGCAGAGGTTGCTGGAGCTTTGTTGCTTTGGTGAAAATCAGGAGGCAGGCTAGCCTACATTCTGGATATAAATGTCTTCAGAATTAGGGCATCCATTGCCACCAGTGCTTGCTGATGGGGATGGAACTGGAGCCCCTTATTCCTCGCCTCCCTGGACCTCAGGCCTCTCTACCAGCCTCTCTTTACAAAGAGGGAGATTCCCCTGCCCCAGGGTATTGTTGAGAGCGCAGGGCCCTGTTACCCTACAAAACTTAGAAACTGACAACCTGGGAAAGCAGATCAGATTGGGAATGGGGTTAGGTCCTTTTACAATTGGAGTGATTGGTGATGGCGGGCTGGACATATGCCTCTATGCCTTTGACCTCAGGGCTTCCTGGGTTGGTGTCTTGACAGTCAGCGATAGGGGAGAAGGGTTTGATAGCAGTTGGAAGAAGTAGCCGATTCAGTAGGCTTCCTGAGTTCCTTTCTTAGCAGCATGACTTAGTGGTTCTGTGACCCGCGGCAAATTATTGAACCTCCCTGAAGCTTCCCATTTTCTTATCTTCAAAATGATCATTATAACGTCTGTCTTATGGGATGGTCACTGAAATAACGCATGAGAAGCTCTTAGCACAGGGCCTGGCACACAATAAGCACTCAGTAAGTCATAGTCATTATTCCTCTTAGGCTATTTAAGTCTTTCAGCCTGTTGTGATCAGCGCAGGAGGAGGGCTAGGATGTCCGGATGGAACCATGAAGGCCTCTGAGGACCTCAATCCTGGGTTTGGAACCCAAAAAAGGTGAACAAGCCTTTGGAGGAAGGCAGGTCAAAGGCGCATGCCCAGCGACAGCAGGTGCAGGGGGGCGCGCCGCTGCCGCCGCCGCGGCCTCCCCTTTAAGAGCCGCCGCCGCCCACGGCCCGCCGCTGCGGCAGGGACCTCCCCTTTAACGGCGGCGGCTCGGCGCTCCGCGGCCCCCGCGGCGGCTGCTGCTGCGGGTGCTGCTGCTACTGCGGCTCCTGCTGCCGCCGCCGCTCGGCTTCCAGCAGCTACATCCTCGGCCCGGGCCGGCTTCCCGCCCCGCGCCCCGCGCCCCGCCCGGCCCCGCCATGGTGTCCTGGATCATCTCTCGCCTGGTGGTGTGAGTGCGGCGGCGGGGCGCGGCCGGTTGGGAGGGGGATGGGGGTTAGGGGTGGCGGGTGAGGGGTATGGAAGCCTGGGATGGACCACTCCGTGGCTTCGTAGAGCAGAATCACCTAAAGGCACATCATCCCTATTTGGGGTCCCCAGAGACGTGGAGATGAGGGATCCGGAGGAGGGGCGAATGTTCGAGGAGCAAGGCAGGCCTGGCTTCCCACCCCTTTTATTTTTAATTTCCCTGTTTCTGCGCCCTCCCTCATCCCCGGAGGGGGGGCTAGGCAGCATGGCTTGATTTATGAGGGGAGGCGGCTTGTCCCCTCCCCCACGTAGCAGATCTGGCCGGAGGAGCCCCTCAAACCTGGGCTCTCATCTCCCATCGGGAGAGCCAGGGGAACAAGGCAGGGCGTCCTCATTCCATAGCTTAGGGCCGTGGCAGCCTTGGCCTCCCCGAAGGGCCCCATTTCTCCTCCCTCTTCCACTGTCTGTCAGGAGACTGAGGGTGAGGGCACATGCTCTGAAGGCCCCCCAGGGAGGACGGGAAGCAGAGATGCTTGGATGACAAAGTGTGGGAGGTAACTGGGAGAGGATATGTGTGTTCAGCCTGGGATTGTGAGAGCCGTGGAGGGAAGGGTGTTAGGTGGCCTTCATCCCAGGCTGCCGGCTCTGTCCCTCCCAGCTCCCCCGGGCTTCAGGAGGGTACCCTCTCCCACAACTGTGGACTTTGTCCTTGAGGGTTCCACCCCCGACTCCATCTCTTGAAGTATCCTGCCTCAGTGAGGCAAGTCCATGGGGAACAGGCGGTATCCACACATTGTCAAGAGGCTGGGCCTGGCAGGGACTCTGCATGGCTTCAGTTAACCTGCCCCAGCTCAGGACCCTGCCCCTCAGCCTCCACCTTTGGGGCACTGACACCCCAGGATCCCCTCCCTGCTATCATGTTCTTGTGTTCTGGCTTCCTCTAGACCCACCAGAGTCTCCCCTTCCCACCTGAGGGAACCCAGGGGCTTCAAACCTCCATGTGGCCTTCAGAGTGGCTGCTCCTCTTGTGTGAATGAGCTCCCCGAGTGACATCAGTCCTCTCCTTGCCTCACCTGTGTCCTCTATGTGGTCTCTGATGGGAACAGCACAGACTCCACTATAGCCGGGACCTCTAGCCCAGCGCACTTTCCGGAGCCTAGTCCCAAAAGTGTTTACATCGGGAAATAAACCACTTTGTCCCCGAGGGCCTCCTGCCCCTGTGCCCTCTGCTCCTCAGGTCCCCAGGGCTACAGTGGTACTTCTGACTGCCAGGTACCCTGTTGGGTAGTGTTACTGGCCCTACGACGGGGAGGTAGAGGGTAAGGGCTAATGGGTAAGAAAGTGCGTGAAGTCTGGAGAAGGACGACACCTCTGAGGCAGTGACCTGACCCCCACCCCATGATATGGTTATGTACAAATGAGGTTCAGGGCTGGATAAGCCACATCAGACCCTCTGGCCTCTAGGTCTTTCTGTCGGGCTGGAGAAGAACTGAACAATAAAGGGTTCCGGGGCATCACCCTAGCTGGCCAGGGCCTCCATGCTTGTGTATCACCTCAGGCTTGCCTGCTTTGACTTTACTCCCTGACCTGAGATCATCAGTCAGCTGATGTGGTATCCTGGAGTTCTGTCCATTCTCCCCTTACCTACGCAGGGACTGATGCAGAGATGGGAGGGAGAGGCCATTGCTTTTGGCCGAGGGGCCCAGTAACCATGCCTGCCTCCCTAGGCTCATCTTTGGCACCCTGTACCCAGCCTACTCTTCCTACAAGGCCGTGAAGACAAAAAACGTGAAGGAATATGTGAGTGTGTGACCCTTCATCTCCCACCCAACTTACGTGGCAGAGATCAGGGAGGACAGTGGGTCACATGACAGACGGGGATGACTTTATACTAATGCTGTCAGCACTAATGAGACCTGGTTCAGGGGAGGCTCCTATGTATTCCCTTTCCCCAGCCCTGGTGTGATACACAGACAAAGTTGGGGCCCTCTGTGCCCCCTCCACAGAGCCTCCAGCATGGTTGGCAAGTAGAGGTGGGGTCCAGGGTGTTTCCCCAAGGCCCCAGCTAACACCGCCCTCTGTACCTTTAGGTGAAGTGGATGATGTACTGGATCGTCTTTGCCTTCTTCACCACTGCCGAGACACTCACAGATATCGTGCTCTCCTGGTGAGGTCCAGTAACCCCTGCCTCCCTGCACCTCAGGTGCCAGGGCTTCTGACTTCTACATAGCCAGTCCACCCAGGGTGGCATCTCCCCAACAGTCCCATGGGGTCCTGGGTGTCCCCTCCTCTCAGCCCCCATCCAGTCCTTGCTTGATTGAGCAGAATAAGAACAGACGTAACTCTCACCTTTCTTTTGGCAGCCAAAGCAGCATAATAAAATTCAGGGAACCTGCTTCTGCCAGACTTACAGTGACTTTGGGCAGTTCACAGTTTTCTAGGCCTCAGTTTCCCTATTTGTAAAACAGGCATATGAGTCAATCTCGTGAACATTGGATTGTATTTCAAAGGCTTTTTCTAGGCACTACTAGACTATATATATACACTCTTGAGGACACAGAATGGTCTAACCATCTGTATATTCACAGCAGGCGCTCAAAAATGTTTACTAAATGAGCAAATGCCTCTTGGAAGAGAGGACAAACATAGCACAGTACACTGGAAGTCAAAAGAGTTTTACTGAGAGGTAGAGGACAAAAGATCCTGGCGTTTGTAGATTTCAAGGACCTTTGAGAAAAAACAGTTTGAGCAGAGAAAGTTGAATGGGGTCAAATTAGGAAAGAGTAATGGGTTAAAAATTGAGAACAGGTGAGTGCAGGTGCCTCTTGATGCAAGCAAAGGAGGGAGCTTTGATGAGAGCTTTGTGAGGATAGAGGAGACCTAAAGGAGTGTGTGACCTGAGAAGGAGCCATGAGAATAGAGAACAGTCCTTAAAAAGCAGGGGCCATGTCACAGCAGCGAGAATAGAGAACAGTCCTTAAAAAGCAGGGGCCATGTCACAGCAGCAAGGGATAGATCCAGAGCACAGCTGGAGAAGCCCGACTTCTTCATGGGAGGAAGAGCAGGCAGGAAGGGAGTGAGGACCCAAGAATGCACCTGGAAGGTTAGGGAGCTCGCCTTGGTGTTGACCCCAGGATAGAGGAGTGAGTGCTCTTCTGTCCGAGAGAAGAGGGTGATAGAGCCACTGCTGCTGGGAATTCCTGCTGGGGTCACTTTTCACCTTGTTACTGGGAGTCTCAGCTGAGCCTCCCCTTGACCAGTCTCCTAAGCCACATGGGGACCTTAGTGCACTAAGGGGTGGGGGGGCCAGCCAGGGTCCTGCAGCAGGTCCATACGCCTCCTGACTTCCTGCCCCAGGCTCTGCCCTTACCTGTCTCCCACCCACAGGTTCCCCTTCTACTTTGAGCTCAAGATCGCCTTTGTGATATGGCTGCTGTCCCCTTATACCAAAGGCTCCAGCGTGCTCTACCGCAAGTTCGTGCACCCAACCCTGTCCAACAAAGAGAAGGTCTGTTGGAACAAGGGACGCTCGCTTCCCACCTATCCTGGGTCAAGGCAGCCCAGTGCCTGCAGCCACGTGCATTCATGGCTCTCCCTGTGGGTGATCTGGGAGGGCCCTGGCCCCCTGGGGCAGGCAGTGCCAGGTGTGAACAAGGGCAAAGCAGGGTAGGACCCAGACCTCATCTCTTCCTCCAACCCCTCAGGAGATCGACGAGTACATCACACAAGCCCGAGACAAGAGCTATGAGACCATGATGAGGGTGGGCAAGAGGGGTCTGAATCTGGCCGCCAATGCCGCAGTCACGGCTGCTGCCAAGGTGAGTTGGGGGCAGACCCAGCTCCCAGGCCCCAGCTTGCTCATCTCGTCCCCCAGCCAGTCCCCTTTGCATCCACCGCATCCTTGAGTCAGTGAAGGTTTGGGGGCTTGTGCAGCTTGGGGTTCCCATCCTGCCTTTAACATCCCCCCCACTAAAGGACTTCCACTCAGCAGACCACAGTTTCCTCACCCATCCAAAGGGAACGCGTGGCCCCCGCCTGTTAGAGCTGCCGTGGGATGGGGTGAGGACACCATGGGGAGAGCACCGAGTCCAGTGGCTGCCCGGTGCCCCATGGTGACCTCTCTCTCCACCCCGCCCCTTCTCCTCCGGTCCTCCCGGTGCGTGGTGGTGACCCCAGGGCCAGGGGGTGCTATCAGAGAAGCTCCGAAGCTTCAGCATGCAGGACTTGACTCTGATCCGGGACGAGGACGCACTGCCCCTGCAGGGGCCCGACGGCCGCCTCAGAGCCAGCCCCGGCAGCCTCCTGGACACCATTGAAGACCTGGGTACAGGCCGGGCCCAGGGCGGGCAGGGGGCAAGGGTGAGGAGGCTGGGTGCGAGAGAGACCAGAGCCCTGCTCTTCTTTCCTCCCCAAACCAGGAGATGACCCCACCCTCAGCGTAAGGTCAGGCACCAACCAGGCAGATCCCCGGACAGAGATCTCTGAGGATGACACGGGAGACAAGGCCCCTAAGAGGATCAAACCCATCAAAAAAGTGCCCAAAGCCGAGGTGAGACCCAGGCCAGAGCTTGGAGAAGTGGGAAGGGCTTGTGGCTCCAGGCAGAGCCCTCCGTCTCCCTCTCTTCCTTCCACAGCCACCGGCTTCCAAGACGCTGAAGACCCGGCCCAAGAAGAAGACCTCCGCAGGGGGTGACTCAGCTTGAGGCCCCAGCCCCCTCCCCGCAGGCTGCAGAATCCCGGCTCCACACTGTGCCAGCAGCCCTCAGCCTCAGGCCCCGGGGCCTCTCAGATGGCTGTTTCCGGTGCCTCCCAGTGGCCATTCCCCTGGAAGGGCTTGGGAAAGAGAAGGGAGGCCCTGCTGTGGGGGGCCGAGGGTAGAGGCTGGACCCAGGAACTGAGGATGGAGCCACTCGAGGAGGTGTGGGCCCCTCAGAGCCCAAATGCTACTCTCCCCGCTCCAGCCCTGACCCCGCCCACCCAGTGCCTTGCTGAAGACCATGGCCATCCCCTTGTCCTAACATGTGGCCCCACTGCTCTCCCTGAGTCAGGGTCGGCAACCAGTCACAGCCCAGATTGACTGGAGCCTGAAGGCCCAGCAGAGGAGGGAGTGGGGAGGCCTCGGAGAACCTGGGTTCTGGGCCTGCAGGTGTGAATGGAGGACAGGGGCTCAGTGTGTGTTTAAGTGACCAGGAGCCAGGCCAGAGCTGCAGCTGGGGGTGTTGGGTAGGGCTGTGAGCTACCTGTGCCCACTGAAAGGTGGGGCTCCAGGGGTGTGCGTGTGTGAAAGAGACAATGTGTGTGTGTGTGTGAGAGTATGTATCTTTCTGGGTCTAGAGCTGGGGGCTTTTGAATAAAGGACTTTCCCTCCAGCAGTAACCTCCCCCCACCCAACCCAGCTGCCCTTTCCCCCCTCGGCCCTCCCGCCTACTCTCTGAGCCTCAGAGGACCCCAGCCCATGAGAGAGTAGGGCTCCAAGGGGCCTCTCGCCCGCTGCTGTGCCCTTGATCCGCTCCTCTCTTGCCTCCTCCCGTTCCTGCCCCAGGACGGGGCTCCACCGCTCTGGGCCCTCAGTGAGGCCCCTGCTGAGCCGATTCCTTTCCTCCTCTCCTGGGGGCCCATCTTCCTTCCCCCTAAGGCCCTCTTCCTGTGCCAAGCAGGCTAGGCCCCCTGTAAGCAGACCCCTGTCAGAGCCCAGCCTTTGCCCCACACTTTGCCCCAGCGTCTGCCGTGGCTTCCTTCCGTCAGGGCTCGGAGGAGCGTGTGAAGAAGAAAAAGGTATTAGGAGCCAGGGGGCTCCAGATCCATGGGAAGAGGGTGCCCAATGGACCTTTGGCACTGGATGAGCCAATAAACCAAATTCTGGCACCTCCTTTGTTTTGGCCTCTGTGCTTTGTTCTTGGTCTACCAGTCCACAGGTGAGAAGGACTTCAAGTGAGAAGCCAGGGCTCAGCTGTGGGATGGAGAGGTGAAGAAGTCAAACTGTGAACTCAAGAGATCTGATCTCCAAGAGATAGGCTTGAGGTGGTTCCATCTGGGAAGATGGTTTGGAGGTTCAATATAGAGCCAGGGGGGCTGGAAAGAGCCAGGACTTATGAAGGGCAAGGGACCACCCTCAGAGGTTGTCCTGTCCCTCAGAATCCTACCCGGAGACCCCTCTCCATTCTGACACCTCACAGAAAGTGCCAGGGTGTAAGTTCTAGGGGCAAAGATCATGATGAAGCTCCAGGAAAAAGAGAATGGGATATTGGGGGCTCCTGGCAGAGCCTGGGGACTGGATCGCCATGGCCTAGAAAGGCTAAAAAACAGTGGAGAGGGACGGTAAGCCAGACACCGAAGGGAGGATCTAGGTGGGATGAAGGGAGACATGGAGATGAGGAACCAGCCTCATGGTTCACATCTGACCCTGGGGACAAACAAGGCAGACAGGGACTCAAGGGCCAGAGCCAGTGAGGCAAGCCCATGTGGCCTGTGGAGGGATGGTTGGAGCCCTGAGCTGCTGGGCTGGGGTGGAGGAGAGAAGGAGGGAAGCTGCAGGGCCTGGGGTCAAGTTCTGGGGAGGTGGCGCCTAGGTCGCCAGGGTCACCACTGATGGGAACAGAAACCAGGAGGAGGGAAAAGACGGCAGAGGAGCAGAGGCAGCATCAGAAGAGACAAGGGAAAAGAGCAGAGCGGGAGGGGGTGAAGAGAGTGAGGGAAGGAGAAGGAAGGGTGAAGGAAGCTAGAGAAACAGCAGCTCAGCCTTACAGAAGGAAAATGGAGGAAGCAGAGCTGGGGACGGGGTGGGGAGTGTGAGTGGAGACCTAGCTCCAGGCCCTGGACCCCAGGATTGGCAAAATGTCCCTACATTTTGGGAGAGGCTTTCCTCTCCCTTCCCTGGCATCACGGGGGCATGTCCTTCTGCCAAACTTGAGCCAGCTGGCCAAGAACCTCCCGAACTGAGGTGCCCGTGGAGATTGGGGGCGGAGGGAGGGAGGCGTGTGAGATGCCCTTTTCATCTTTCCTGAAATTCTCCAGTCAATAGCGCTCTGAACAGCATTCCTTTCACCATTGCCCTCTGGGCAATTTGGCCCCTTTCTCTATCAGAAAGGAGAGGAAGGGTCAGAGTAGAAATCAGGTGAGAGACTCCCTTGTTCTAGAAAGATCTCCAGAGAGTAAGTTGCTTGAGTCTCCTGATAGCAGGTACCATATGGCCAGGAAAGCAGTTTAGGCCTGTCTAACCTAAATCCCATTTGCTGCATTTCACATACATACACTCACACAACTCACACTCAGATTACACACTTCCATCCACAGGGACCAGTGGCCAAGGGGGTCACTGTCAGAGTCCACATCTCCAGGCTCTCCCTGCACATCTGGGTTTCCCCGTGTCAACAGAAGATGCTTAGATTTCCAAGTTCACTGGTCCGTTGCCATGGAAACATTGTCTCCTAGACCTCCACACAGGGTCTGACCCCTGTGGTGCTGGGGAGGAGAGGAGAGATGGAGGGTGACAAACAGAATGAGGGGAGGAGGCTGGTGAAGCACATCTGGGTCTACATGACCCCTTGCTGTCTTATTCACCTGGGGTCACCTGCCCTCTCCCCTCCGCCTTAGTAGATCTCTCTAGGCCAGGGGAGTGGGAAAGAGAAGTCATGACAGAGATGTCTGGCAGGAGCTATGTGGAGGGTGCTTGATCACTGCCTGGAAACCCACTGGGCACTGAGAGAGATAAGCTTTGAAATGGGGGCTGAGGTCTAGCCCCGTGTCCCACACCCAGACCATGTTGGGGACACTGGGCAGCCCTCCAGGCCTGAGGTCCCTGGCTAAAATGGTCCTCAGGCCTGAAGTGGTTTCATTCTGCTTCCCCTCCCTTCCTTGTGTGTGCCCCACACTAGGAGAACCTGCTTAAAATGTGATTTCCAGGCTGTGACGTCAAAGGAAAGCCTGCAGCTCCAGCCTATGCCAGCTCTTCCTTGATCAGCAGAGCTGAGCCCAGCCCTTGCTCAGCCTGGAGGAAAGGAGGTTAAGTAGAGGAGGGAGGGTCTCTGGGGGCCTCTGGTCCTCATATATGTGGCATTCAGAATAATAGGGAGAGACTATTTTGAGGCCAAAGTGCTGGCTTCCCCATTGCCTTAAATGCCAGCGAGTACGTGATTATCTCCGTCACAGATTCCCCCTAACCCCAGGTTTACCCTCTCTAGCTGGGTCAGGCGTGCATAAAGGAGGAGGGCACCTTAAGTCTTAGAGCCATTTGCGTTCTGCCCGAGAGCTTGTGGCAAATCTAGGCTGGAGGCAGTGATGGGTGGGAAGGATGCCTGCAAGGAGGAAAAAAGCCCACTAGGTGGCGCAGCTCACCCCCATTGTGGGATTCCCCGGCCCTTGCTGGGGGATAGTCTTTCCTTCAGCAGTCAGTTGGCTTTTAAGGTCCGCTCCCAGGATGCTTTATGCCGCAGTCCCTGGAATCGGAGGTTCATGAAGAAAGCATCCTTGTGGGTGAATAGGCAGATATGAATTCTCAATCACTTCCCAACCTCAGTTTGTGTGCAGAGGAGATGGTCAGACCCAGCAAGCAGGTACTCCCTTTGGGGAAGGATCAGGCATCTCCTGGGAGCAAGGAAATTGCCAAGCTGAACCTAGGAGGGTCATACAGCCCAAAGGACCCAACTTGGGCTTCTAAAATATTATCAAGAGAGGGCCAATTCGGGCGAGCGAGAGGGACACTCACCTAGATGCAGGGTTCCCTGGAGATGACTCCCTTATGGCCACAGTGGCAGTCCCAGGGCTGCCCCTAGGTTTCCCTGTCCCCTACCCCTTCCCTGATTTTCATCATGGGTACTGTAGGGCTGAAAAAGGAGACAAAGACCCTAATCTTCAGACCCTTGAACCCCAAGGTATTTTTTCCAGCAGCCTGGGCTGACTCCTCAATGACCTACCTTTGCCTGACCTCTTTCCCAAACTGACCCCACCAGCCCCACACACCTAATGAATTACCCTCTTCTTTTGTCCCAGCCAGATGAGTGATCAATAAATAATGCTGCCTGAAATATTAATGGCAAGTTTTACACCAGCATCCCTTAGCCGTGCCTGTCATTGGGGAACTTGAGAGTTGACAGAGAAATGCATGGCCCCCAAAGAGCTCCTTTCTTCCTCTTTTCTTTGCCAAGATTTTGACCTGTCCCCGTCTCCACCAGATCATGATTCATTGCCATTAGGTGAGAAGAGGACGGGTCCCCCAGAGACTGACACAGGCAGCCTCTAGGGGGAAGATGGGGTGAGCTAAACCAAGCAGCGACCCTTCTCAATTCCTTTGTCTCCTCTGATGCAAGTGAGATCCCATTTCCTCTGTTCCATGTCCATCTTGGACCTGCCGGGTCCAGCTTTCTGAGTGGCAACTCAGAAGGAGACCTGGGGCTTCCCTCCTCCCCCTGCTTCAACTATTTTGGAGCCTGAGCAATAGGGACTCATGTGCTCCCAGACTTCTGGCCCTGGCATTCTCTTCTGGCTTTCTTCTCCCTGGAAGAAGAGGAGGAAATGGAAGCTCTTAGCCCTCTTGAGCCCACTGGTGGGCTTCCCAGGGGGCCAGCGCCCTCCTTCGGGGAAACCAGGCCCACCCAAATCTTTGAACATGCAGTGCCCTCTGCTCACATGCTCTTTGTCTCCTGCTTCACTTGGTAATCTCTTGCATGCGCTTCAAGTCTCGGTTTAGATGTGACACTGCACCTGGTCCAGGCCCCTGTGGCCTTCTCTTCCCTAACAGCACACATCGCCCTGTTTCATCATTGGCCATGTTTCCCCACTAGACTGAAAGCCCGGGCATAGGCAATGGGCCTACCTGGTTCACCACTGTTTGCCCAGCATCTAGTACAGGGCCTGGCACACTCTAATAATTCAGCCCATTTTTCTGCAATGTACGAATGACATCTTTGCAGCATTCTTCCTCTCCCAAAAAAACACCAGCCTTCTACCTGCATCTCCCTGCGGAGCTGTTTGCCTGCAGCTGAGGAGGGGTGTCTATACTAAACAGCAGCTGCCCAGACCACCTACCCACGCCCTGACCCCCCCAGCATGTGCTTATGATCGCTTGCTTTGCCTTTCTCTCTCTCACACACAGATGGGAGTCAGCTTTCCAGCCACATTCACTTCTCACTTTAATTCAAAAGCTAAATTGGGAAGAAGAGCAGCTTCACACTCCCGATTTAGCCTGGGAGAGAAAAAGGGAGACAGTCTAGATGTTGCCAAGGAAAGGAGAACGTTGGGTCTGGGGTGGGTAGTGGTGGCAAACATACCCAGAACCCAAGAGAAGACAATGAAACCCCCACCCAGCTACTAAAAATAAGTCATCCAGAGGCATGACTCCAGAGTGACCCCTGTGAAGCCTCCTGTGATGGTGCTGCCTTTCTGGACACTACCCCAGCCTAGGGATGGGATTAGAGGAAGTGGAAGAGACTCAGGTTATTGGAACTATCCATAGGGGGAGATGCTGCTGCTTAGGTCGCTGGTAGTAGGAAACCAGAAAGTCCTTCTTAAATCTAACTTTAATCTATTTGGTAACTGCTGAGAGGCATGATGAATAAAAACAGAATTCATAAACAGATAGTTGTTCATTAATATTCATAGCAGCATTATTCACAATAGTCGAAAAAGTAGAAAAACTCAAATGTCCATCAAGAGATGGGAGGATAAACAAAATGTGGTGTATACATACTTACTAAGCCTTAGAAAAAGAAATGAAATTCTAATACATGTTACAACATGGATGAACCCTGAAAACATTATGCTAAACCAGGCACAACAGGACAAATATTACAGACAAATATCTTCACTTACAGGAGGTACCTAGACTAGGCAAATTTATATAGAGAGAAACCCTAATAGAGGTTACCAGGGGCC